GGAATTTTCCATTGGTTGTATCATGTCTGCACTCAACAAGTTTCAGATTTTGGAGCATTTCGGATTTCAGTCAGATCTTTAGGTTAGAGACCTTAATAAATGAAATAAAATTTCTTAGTTTTAAAAACAGGTGACTACATGTTGAAATGGTAATATTCTGGATACATTGTGTGATGTGAAACTTAATTTATCTTGTTTCTTTTTTACTTTTTTTTTTTTTTTTTTTGGTATGTGTGATGCCGGGGGTCAAACTCAGGGCCACGCAGGTAGGTGCTAAGCAGACTCTTACCCCCCCGAGACCCCTCTCTGTTTTACTTTTTAAAGTGGCTACTAGAAATTTTGAAGTTGCACACAGATTGGCTTCCTTCTCCTGCGTAGTGCTGTTCTAGGTCCCTGTTCAAGTCTCCTCCTCTCACCTGTGTGTGTTTGAGCAACTCTCTGTCTTAACCTGGGTCTTCTCATCTGTGAAATGCAGGCAATAACACTTCCCTTGCAGGGTTATAATCGGGTTTTATTTTATTTGTTTATTTTTGTGGTGGTGAGGATTGAACCCAGGGGCTCCTTCATGCTAGGTGAGTTCTCTCCCACTGGGTTACCTCCTCAGCCCTATAATTGGGTTTTAATGAGAAGGCGCCCCCGGCACAGTGTCTGGCACATAGCAAGTGTGGGCTAACTAACTGGCAGCTGCCCTTTGTTATTTCATTGTTGAGCCCCAATTTTACAAGCTCCTGATGGTTCTCATTTAGCCTTTTGGGAGATAGAAGTTAAACCAGGGCATATTCTGGGAGAAGGCTGAGGGATAGTGGAGCGCCTACAAGGYGGGTGGAAGGCCTGGGACGGCCACCCTGGATGGTGTCCAGCCAGGCAGCAGCCCAGGTGCCAGCCTGCTCCATCCCAGGCTTGCCCAGCCCAGAGACCTGGGCCAAACTCCACTGCACTGTAGGTCTCTTTGGCAGCAACTGGGAGAAGACACGACCAGCCAGAGGGAGAATCTGGCTCAGGGTCCCTGACCCAGGGGGATTGGAGAAGCAGCCCCAAGCCTAGCTCATGTCTTTCACCTGGGCCCCCAGAAAAGCTTTCTCACTGGAAAGCAGGAAGCATGGGATCTATTTATTTATTTATTTATTTATTTATTTATTTATTTATTTTGCAGAGATATCTGATATTCCTTGACCTGTACAGATGCAGGGGGAGGGGTCCTGTAGGGAACAAGTGGTGACGTCAGGGCCCTGGGGCTCAGGACTAGTAGTGACCAAGGCCACTGGGCCTCACTTGGGTTGAGGAAAAGATGCCTTCAGCCGACAGATCTGGACATTGGCACAGTGTTCCAAGTCCCTGGTCACTTCCCAGCCTGCCCACAGAGCAGTATCCCATGCCACCTGTCACGGGGCAGCTCTCCCTTGAAGAGCCAGCACCCGGCCCAAGCCTGTGTCCCCAGAGTATACGGAACTAATGGAGCTTCCTCCCACATGCCCCCAGCTCCTCCTGCCCTGCCCCCTGCCCCTTGTCTTTTGTTGGCTGCTTTCTCTGTATGGGGCAGGCCAGTACCAGTCTATTTACATGACAGGAGCCCTGGGCTGGCTGGGGGAAGGGCAGTCTGCAGAGGTGGGGGTCATCTCTGTTGTACCTTAACCACCTTGGTGGTCTTCCTGCTCCCCTAGCCCATCCCTCTGGGACCTACCTCTGCCTGACCTTCAGGAAGTGGTGGAAGCAGCCTGTCGTCACCATGGCATCAGCCAGGGAGGAGCTGGGCCCAGTGGGGCGTTGGCCCCCAGCCGCCAGCTCCCCAGAGACGTCAGTCACCAGGATTAGGGTATCCACTTTCCCCAGCCTTCCAGGTGGCTGCTGGTGGAGCCTATTGAATTCCTTGCCCACTGTCCGCACCCAGAGCTGCAGGGGCGGAGGTGATGGGGCGGCCACTTGGGGTGGGGCTAGGCCAACTGCCTGAGGAGAGGGATGGTGGGAGAGTTTGAGAGCCTGAGGGTAGGAGAAAGCCCAGCAGAGGGTCTGGCGGCTGCCCTCCTGACGTGGTCTTTTCTGTAGAGCCCTCCAGCATTGTCTAAAATTGAGCATCGTGGGCCCACCCAGCCTGAGCCACCCTAGCCCCTCTGAGCCACCCCAGCCCCTCCATGCCACCCTGGGCCACCATTGCTGCATACTATTCTTGCTTCTGGGTCTCCATGAATCTCATCTCTGAGCAGATCCTGATTTTTACTTCCAACCTTTCAGAACTTATTGGGAGGCTCTGCACAGACTCTGGGGCCATGTTCCTCTGAAGTGTCCCTTGACTCCCTGCTCTGGAGCTAGCCCAGACAGGCCAGGCCTCCCAGACCCTGGAGGCTGCCACCAGGGAACTCCTGGTTCCACCCAGGCTGGAGAGGGCCACCTGATGGGCTGACTCAGCAGCTGTGTTGACCCCTCCTGGGAACACCTGGGCGGCTTCCCTTGGAAGCTGATCTCCCTGGTCCTGCAGGAAGCCCCCATTGCCCTCCTGTTCATGGTGGGAGTCTCCAGGGCCTTGGCCAGGACAGGCTAGCTGGGGCTCTGTAGGCATGTGAATGCTGCAGGGGAGGGAGTTCCTAGGGCTTCCAGCCTCCTGCCCTGAAGCCACTGTAGAGTCACCCAGAGGGCAGTGGGGCAGGTCACAGTGGGTGCCCGCTATGTCCCTCTTATCTGCATGTTGGTCAAAGGGGCATCTCACCCGGCAAGGAGTTCTGGGGTGACACTTGCTGAGGCATGAAGTAAAGGAAACTCACAGCACAGAGACCTGGACCAGAAGGGTGATGGGCATCAGCAGGGCAGCTAGCCCAGCCCTGCCGGGGAGTACGAGCCGCCCGCTCCCCCAGCCCAGGCATGTCCACTGTCCTGTCGCCCAGCCAAGCTTTATCCTTCCACCTGGGCCACAGCTCTGGCTGCAAGAGGCACTGAGCACCGGAAGGAAGGCTGTGGTTGGCTCCCAGGCTGCCTCCTGGCAAGGGACTGCAGCCAGGGCCAGGGCCAGCACACCGTGACTCCTGCTGGGGTCTCTGCTCCACCTTGGTCACCGGGTCACTTGGATTCTTCAGGCCCAGCCCACGGTGGTGGAAGGAGAGCAGCTTGGAGTTCTGGTTGGTGTCAGGCAGGGGCTCAACTTCTCTGAGCCTCACTTTACCTATCTCATAAGCAGCTCTCAAGCCCCAGCCAGGTGGCTATGGGAAGATTCTTTGGCCTGAGGGGACCGTGGAGGGAGGTGGGAAGCAACTAACATTGGAGCTGCCCCCTGCCCATCCCAGACGTTCACCCTCCCACTTTCTCAGGGTAAAGGACAGGGATCCTACAGCTCAGGGTGGCTAAGGCAGAAAGCTGAGCCTCTCCTGGGGGGGGGCAACTGGTCAGACCTGTTCCTGCTCACCTGGGCCACCTGGGGGAGGGCCCGCTGGCAGCTTTGTGACAGGATTAGCTGGAGGGGAGAAGAGCCGGAACAGAGGAGGGGGTGCTGGGGTCTGTGGGAGGGGCCAGGCAATACCTGTGAGTAACAGTGTGGTCAAGGAAAACTGGGGCTCAGGGCTCCCCAGCAGCCCTTGGGGAGGGGTGCCTTTTGGGTGCTCTCTTATTGTCCTATGGTTGGAAATGAGGAGCCCCTAGTCCAGATTTGGGCAAGGCCACTAGGGCAGGTCCCAGCCCTCATCCTCCTTCCCCCCTGGCCTCGCCACACCTGCACCAACACCCTGAAGACCTGCCCAGGCATTTAAAGGAAGGCAAAGTCACTCTCCAGCCCCCACCCCTGCCCCCAGAGGGTGAAGGGGGGCACAGCTCCCCAGATGGTGGATGGCAAGTTGGGGCATGAGACCTCCGGCCCTCCCCTTCACTCTCCCCACCCCTCTCTGGCCTCCCCCTTCTGCACTCCCAGCTGGGGATCTAGGATTCTGAGCAGCCTGGCACCGCCCTCCCCCTGTGGCTGACTCCTGACTCCTTGCTTCCCTTGACTGTTGAATGGTGGGGACGGTGTGGAGTCCAGGGTGCTTACACGCTTGCGCTTGCGAGCATGCCCACACATGTCCTTATCTCCCAGGGCCTCCCAGCAACTTGGAGGCAGGGACAGTAAGAAAGGACTAGAAATGAGGACCTTGAGGCTTGGAGAAATAAATGACTGGCCCCAGGTCATGTGCAGGGGGACAGGCCTGGGGGTGGGGTAGCACTTGGGTTCAGGCTTTGGCCCACTCCCACCCATATTCTGTCCAGCTGTCTGTCATGCTGTGTGTCTTCGGGTTGTGGCTTCAAAGCTGAGCTGCCTTAAGTTGGGCAGAGGATGTTGAAATCCGTTTTCAGCTGTGCTCCCAAGAAATCTGCATGGACCCTATTAGAGGCTCAGCTTCCCAGGCACAGCCACACTGGGCTTCCTTGGTYCCTGCCCTGCTCTTCCCAGCACCCCCCATTCAGGCTCCTTGGGATCAATGACAGGGTCTCTGGGTTCTAGTGCCATCTTCATCCTCTGCTGGACCTAGAGCCCTGTGGACGGTCCTGTCCAGTCCAGGGCCCCTCACTGTCCCACCCATCAGGTTCCTAGTTCCCTGGCTCTTCCCTGTTCCCTTTTGGCTGGGCAGTGTGGCTTGGCAGGGGAGGAAGGGCGCCTGAGGAGTGAGAAGGGCCCTAGAGGGAGCGTGCTGGCCACTGTCACTCACACCTGCCCCTGCTCCCTAGCGAGAGAACAGGTAAAAGGACTGGGGTCCCACTCATGTGCCTAGGGACCCAGCTACACGACAGGAGTGCCTCATTCCCCTCTCCCTCCAGGAGGGCCAAATGGACCATTAGGAGGGATAAGACCTGGGCCATGTCCCCCTCAGGGCCACCTGGGCAGTTTGCTGCAATGCTGCATGTCCACACAGATCTTCTGGGCACCCAGAGTCCCTTGCCATGTTGTGCAGGATGGGGGCTATGTGTTGCTTGCTGGCCTTTGTGGGGAGAAGGTCAAGCAGAGGGCACATTGTGAAATGGCCATGGACCTTCCATTTCTCCCACAGCATGAGCTTCGGCCTCGACTCTGCACCATGAAGAAGGGTGCCAACGGCTACGGTTTCAACCTGCACAGTGACAAGTCCAAGCCAGGCCAGTTCATCCGGGCAGTGGACCCAGACTCCCCGGCCGAGGCCTCCGGGCTCCGGGCCCAGGACCGCATTGTGGAGGTGATGCCCTCGCTCTCTTCCCCACACCTCCAGGCTCTTCCTCCTGATCTCTGGCCCTCAGGCCGCCCCCCTCATCCACTGCTTGTTAGCCTGTGGGGCACGGCCAGCCCTCAGGTGCTGGGGGAGTGGGCCCTGCATAGGGGCCACCGCCACAGCTTCCCTGCTGCCCTGGTGCCAGGCACAGGCCTGGGGGATGAGCCCCTTTCCTGAGTGAGGCTTTGAGACTCATGTCGTGCTCTTGTGCTGTGTTCATGAGAAAGGAAACGTGAACTGAACGCTTGGGCTCGTCCCAGAATCACAGTCTGAGAACCTTAGAGCCAGAGATCAGCTCTCCCAAGACTTCTCATTTTACACGTGAGAAAACCAAGGCTGGGGGTGGGGGGAGTCAGGGGACAGCCTGCGCAGGCCTCCAAGCCTGGGTCCTGCCTCCCAGCTGTGTTTGTTTAGTCTTGTCTGCGTATTTTCTTTGGCTCTTCCCATGTGTCCTGCCTCCAAGCTGACTGTCCAGCCCTAGAACCGCTGGCCTAGCTCAGGATTCCACAGACCCGGTGGGCACAGTATCCGCAGGTGGGACCTTCTCCCCGCCTGCCCTAGAAGTGAGACCTGTGCTGACACCACCCCCACACACCCCGCTTTGCAGGTGAATGGGGTCTGCATGGAGGGCAAACAACATGGGGACGTGGTGGCTGCCATCAAGGCTGGAGGGGACGAGACCAAGCTGCTCGTGGTAGACAAGGAAACTGATGAGTTCTTCAAAAAGTGCAAAGTGATCCCATCTAAGGAGCATCTGAATGGTGAGTGGAGTGTGCAGCCCAAGGTGTGCCCCCAAGTCCAGGATGTGGCCAGGGGCGAGGAGTGGGCTTTGATGCCTCATCCTCCCCCTTCAGGGGAGGCCCAGCAGCGTGGGTTGGCAGAGAGTGGGGCCCTGGGTAGGGAAAGGACACAGGATGGGCAGTGGACTTCCGAAGATGGCCTGTGAAGAGGTCAGCCGGCCTGAATGAAGCTGGTGAGAAATGGCATAGAATCTGGCTTCCCAGCTGCAGCCACAACACCAAAGAATGACCTGAGCCCTTGTCCCCTGCCCCCAGCAAGTTCTCAGGATAGGGCGAGGAAAGGGTTAACTCTGGGGCAGCCTCCAGCCTTTGCTGGGCAGATCAGAGTCCAGTGACAGGAGCCCAGTGCCTCCCCACCCCCTTCTGCCCGCCCTCTGTCAGGTTGTCTTGGAAACAGGCTTGCTGGCTCTGGAGAGCAGTGGGTCCCCCTTCTTTTCTGGGGCCCCTGCCCTTTCCCTCCCCCACCCTCACCCTGCTGCGCCTGGCACCTCCCCCTGCTCAAGCCAAGCCAAAGGGTGCAGGGCTGCTGTACCAGGGCAGGGAGGGGTTAAGCAGCCTCCTGTCCCTGCTCTGGACTTTCTCCCTGGGAAGATGGCTCAGGGAGGGGGGTGCCCGCTGGGCCACACTGAGGGTGGAGCCTCTTTGGACTTTGCAGTGGGTGGGGCTTCCCTGAGGGTCAGGGTTATATTTGTAGGAGTGGGATCCACATGACTCAGATGCCTGGCTGAGGGGCCCATTGGGGCAGCCCTGTCCCCCTTTAGCTCTATCCCTGGCAGCCTCTGGGCATGGGATGTGGGATAATCTCCCAAACTTATAGAAACCAGGCAACTCTGGTAATTTCTCAGTTAGGAGGAGACTGAGGTCCAGAGAAACCCATCCTTGCTCTTGGGGACCTGATACGGGGACACAGCTCCCCAGATGCCATCCCCTGCCRCCTTCACCTCCTCCATCCTGGGACAGTCCTCCCTTTTGTTTGTCTCCCTGGCCAGGAGACCTGGGAGGGAGATGCCTGGAGGGAAGGGGAGAGTGAGTGTCCTAGAATTTCCCTGCCCTGCTGCCATGGGCAGGCTGGGGGTATCAAAAGAAGGACTGTGCCTGGCTGTGCCCTGGACCAGGGATGGGGGAGGAGACTCATTATCAACTAGGAGTTCAGAAGAAACCCACCCAGGCTGATGAGTCCCTGGAAGGGGACAGCACCCGCCTTGAAGGCACATCAGGGGCAATCCCAGGCCCAACTTTTTTCCCTCTGATCCCTCCTGTCACCACCAGGTTTCCTATTGGCTGATGGGGAGGACACTGCCCTTGAGCCTTCCTGTCCCTTCATTTCCAGGTGGCAAGTAGGAGTTGGACCTCTTTTCCCCAGCAGAGGCAGGTGCTAAACATAATCTGGGGTGTGTGCTGTCATATCAGCACCACCTGGGATGCATGTGAAAGCACGGAAGGGCCAGGGCTGCCCGGGATCTGTTCTTAACAGGCTCCCCAGGTGAGAATTAGGCAATCCATCTAGAACTTCACCCCATCGGAGACAGTGTTTTTCAAACAGTTGATAGTTCATCAGCAGCTCCTGGGTTCAGTTGAGCAGAGACCAGCACATTAAAAAAAAAAAACAAAACATTTTTTAGCATTTTTAAAAATATGTATTTTTAGAAGTTGATGGACTTTATTTTATTCATTTATTTATATGCAGTGCTGAGAATTGAACCCAGTGCTTCACACATGCTGGGCAAGTGCCTTTACACTGAGTCACAACCCCAGCCCTGGAGACCAGCACATTTATTTTAGTAAAATTTAATAGACAATATCAAAGTCCAGAGCCAGGCACAGTGGCGCACACCTGTAATCCCAGCAGCTTGAAAGGCTGAGGCAGGAGGATCACAAGTTCAAAGCCAGCCTCAGCAAAAGCGATGTACTAAGCATTTTAGTGAGACCCAGTCTCTAAATAAAATACAAAATAGGGCTGGGCATGTGGCTCAGTGGCCGAGTGCCCCTGAGTTCAATCCCTGGTACCACACACATACATACATACACACACACAAGGTATTAAAGACCATTGCACTGCAATAAAGGTAAGTATTGTTTTGTGACACTTTTGTCATATACACAGTCTTTGTGTATACTGGGTCATTAAAATGTTAAGTGTACTTACAGTGGGTTGCAGTCAAAAAATTTTTAACCACTGACACAAGATCTGATGATCTGCTACAGCACACAGCTCCGGCCTCTACCACTCACCCAGAGCTTCTGTACTCACCTTTACTCTCCCCCMCACCCAGGTCCTTTGCCTGAGCCCTTCACCAATGGGGAGATACAGAAGGTAAGCACAGTCCCCTACCTACCTCTCTGGCTCCCAACCCCAGAGGTGCAGGAGATGGGTCAGAAAGTGGCACAGTTGGGAGGACAGCCTTTGGCTCAAGCTGAAGCCTCAGGGCCCAGTTCCAGCTCCTTCCTGAACTCCACACTATAAAAGTGCCAGTGTACCCCTCACCCCTGCTGAGGGCCAAGACTGTCACGCAGGAGCGTTCTGGCTGGGCCCCTCAGCAGCCCGCCATCCTGGGTGACAGGCCCCCACTTCCAATTCCCCACCATACAGAAGAGACCATTCTTCCCCCCAAGAACAGAGCTCCAGTGTCTGGCCACACGCTGCCAGCCCTGCTGCTTCCAGCCTGGGTTGGAAGAACAAAGCCCCTCCTCCCAGGCAGAGGGAAGCGGGTGAGGCCGGGGAAGGAATGGCAGGCTGGGTGCCAGCTGAAGCCATGGAGGGACCCAGGAAGGGGCTGAACGCCAAGCTGACGCCCCAGCCAAAGCCTTCACTCTGAGACAGCCGACTCAGGCAGGCCCCAGAGAGGAGTCTGAAGATTCTGCTTCAAGGCTTCTTACTCAGGGGCTCCTGCCTGGGGCCTTCTGTTACCCTGTCTGTGGGTTAGTACCCCTCTGTCCTGCTCCTTCAAGACCCTGCTTCACTGCTTTGGGGTTAAGGTTTGGAGGGCCATGGAAAGCCTAGGAAGCAGGACATATATCCCCCATGTCACATAGAGAGGGCTCTCGAATCCCTGCTACAAGAAACCCCTCAGAGTCACTGGCCCAAAGGCAAATARATGTCCAAAGCCATGGTGGGCAGGAGGAGGGAGAGAACCATTCAGTAATCCCACCCACCCAGGTGATGGAGGAACCGGGCTGCCCTGATCCTTTAAGGAATGTAAAAACGTAAAGCTGGAGTCTGGGCTGATGGCCAAGGCCTGGGCCGTGCTTCTCAGACTGAGATTCCCAGCTTCTCTGATCAGACATTTCCTGCCCCATTCCCCACAACCCCCATACCTTCCTTCCTATGACAGGACAACAGTCGGGAAACCCTGCCTGAGACAGCCTCAGAGAGCCCCAGGCCAGCCCTGGCGAGATCCACCTCCAGCGTTACCAGTGAGGAGGTAGGGCTGGAGCAGGGGTTAGCAACTGGGTTAATGGAAGCCGATTCCCAGGCCCCTCTGGCTCCTGGCACCACAGACTGCCTTGGAGGTCACATGCTGAGGCGCACTCTGTTCTTGTGACCTGGCTTCCCCTGGGCAGGGCCTCAAGGGAGCCACCTCACTAAGGCTGAGGACCAGGGAGCCTCACCAGCACTGACTGCCTGCTTTCTTCCCCTGCTCCTCTCTACAGCTAAATTCCCAAGACAGCCCCAAGAAACAGGACTCCACAGAGCCCTCGTCTACCTCCTCCTCTGACCCCATCTTGGACTTCAACATCTCCTTGGCCATGGCCAAAGAGAGGGCCCACCAGAAGCGCAGCAGCAAGCGGGCCCCGCAGATGGACTGGAGCAAGAAAAACGAACTCTTCAGCAACCTCTGAGCACCTGTCCACCAGCTGCCAGCCCCTATCTGACCTCCTCCCCCACCCGTTCCCCAACTGCCCACCAATCGACGTTTAAATCAGCACCAGCGTCTCCCTTGATGAATCCGATTTCCCTAGAAACTTTGTCCTTCTCTTACCTTAGGGAAGGCGACTTTCTGTTGTCCGTTCCAATCACAGAGCAGATTCTGTCTCCCCCTTCCTGAGGGCTTAATCCTACCAGTTGTTACCTTGCCACATGCCTGGGACATCAAGGATTGTGGAGCCAGGCCAGAGGCCATCCTCCTTCATGACCCCATGTAATGGCTGGGTCTGAGGCCGAGCAGGAAGCTGACTGCAGCAATCCCTGCTCACCATGGACAGGACTCCCATCCTGGGAGATGCGGCTTGGGCATTTTTTGTTCATTTGATTTTTTTAAGAGTACAGTATCGCAGAGTTTAGAGGGATTTTTGTTCTTTGATTCTCATGATTTTCCTGGTTGTTGCATCTGGGACATGGCAGTAGCCTCACCCTGAAATTTTTGTCATCCCCCCCTCCCCTGCCACACACACAACACACCTGGGCAGCCTGGGGAGGGCTTGGCTGCCCACTGCCCTTCCCTGAGCCAGGCACCACCACTGTAAGGAGACTCCTTCCAAAATTCAGCTGATTTCTCCAAACTACGCCAGCCTCTGCGTCTTCCTTTGGAGCCTTGTCCTCCTTCTGGGTGGAAAGTGGGAAATAGAAAAATAAGTGTTGGGCTGGGGTTGTGGCTCAGTGGTAGAGTGCTCGCCTAGGACATGCGAGGCCCTGGGTTTGATCCTCAGCACCACATAAAAATAAATGTAAAAAAAATTATATATATATATATATAGAGAGAGAGAGAGAAGAAAAATAAGTGTCCCCAGGTTGTCTTGGCTGAGAGGGTAAGGTACTGTTTGAGGAAGGACTGGTGGCTTTAACCTGAGGGCCCAGGATCCCTGGGGGGAACAAGACCCACCCTACTCCTGTGCTCAGCTCCAGGCGTGTGCCCTGCCTGTGTGGCCCCTATGCAATCAGGATGGGTGTGAAGTGGGAGCTGAGAGTCAGAGGCTCCACTGGTTCCAGGGGTGCCGCCCAGATGGGGCCTGGGGGGCATGACAGGCCTCAAATCCAAGTGACTTGAGGAGGTTGAAGCAGGTGAGTGCAAGTTCAAGGCCAGCAACTTAGGCCCTAAGAAACTTAAGACACTGAGGGGAAAAAAAATGTGAAGCCTAGGATGGAGGCGGCTCCATGAGCAAAAGCTTCGACTCTGCCCATAGCCAGTGGGGTGCAGGATTCCTGGGAGCAGGCTGAGCTGGCGCCAGATACTCTATCTTATCTGGCCCCTGACCTGATTGGAGGGCAGCTGTCCAGCACTGGGGGAAAACAAASTGGTCCATGAGCCCCAGGACATGCTGTGAAACAGGGTGGGATCTAAGGGACTTTTCAAGGGCAAAATGCCCTGCTCCTCTGCAAGAGGCCCAGGTCCCTGCTGCCTCCACCACCTGAGGCCACATCCTGGAAGTCTGCCCAGGGCGGCCTGTGAGAGCTGAAGCTGCAGGGCCAGGAGGTCCCAGAGCAGGTGCTCAAAGAGCAGGTAAAGTTGGCCCTGGGGACTTTCTTCTCTTAACCTTCAGGGAGGCCACTCAGAACCAGGTTCCTGGATTAAGGGCAACAAGTTAGTAAGAGGCAAACCAGGGAGGGGAACTATGGTGCCCTGGGGGTTGAGAAGAGGGCCAGCCACTATCTGGCCATCTCATCTCCCTCATCACAGCACCCACTGTCCTGTGCTTTGCTCAGCTGGGCCTGGCCTCTCCCACYGGACCCTTGCCTCTGTCCTTTTGGCCCCAGATGGAGTACACCCCCACACACATAGGTGCAGCAGGTAAGGATAGCCCCAGAAGGCCCCTCCCTACCTCACCTGCTAGGCGGAGAAGCCCTGGGAGACCTCTGACTCTGAGACAGGGACTGGTAGCTCAGAGGGAAATGTCACTTAGGGGCTGGGGCAGAGTACAAAGCTSTACAAGATCTTTGACTTTGGATTCACGAGTTTTTCAGCTGTAGTCTGGTATGAGATGAAGGTGGCTGAAAGACCTAGAAGTGTTTCCCCCCTCAAAATGCCCTATACTTGGCCTTCTATGGTTTTGAGTTGTTGGGGTTTTTTTGTTGTTTTGTTTGGTACTAGGGATTTAACTCGGGCACTTATTATTGGGCTACATCCCCAGCCCTTTTTATTTTTTGAGACAGGGTCTCACTAAATTGCCTAGAGCCTTGCTAAGTTGCTGAGGCTGGCTTTGAAATTGTGACCCTCCTGCCTTAGCCTCTTGGGTCACTGGGATTACAGGTGTGCACCACGATGCCCAACCAATGGTTGTGTTATAAAACATGCCTGGCCTTTCTTGATGGGCAACCCAGATGATGACAGGCTGTGGGGGGACAGGACTCAAGGGGTTACTCCCCCCACCCCAAGTGGAGAGCATGGCTCTCTTTAAGCAGCTATTGCCAGGAGGCCATTCCAAACCTGTGCCTCTGCTGCCCCCTCATGGCCAAGCCAGGTGCAGTGGCCCTCTGGGCAGAAAGTGAGGAGCAAGRAGGACAGACAGACCTACCATGGAGACCATCCACACAGCCCAGCAGCTGAGCAAGARCTTCCAAACTTCTATTAATGGTTGTTATCTAGCCCCAAAATGATACAGCTAGAGCTGTTTAGCTCCAAAAWAGGTAAGGACACAGGTTGAGGGGCTGGGCCACTAAAACCAAAAACAAGGACAGTAGGTTAAGGGGCCCTTCCAGGTCAAACCTCATGGTCACACTGGCCTGCTGCTTTTGACAGCCAAGGACAGAGCCATCCCTCCCACATACAACAGGGACTGAGACTGGGCTCCTGGGAGATCTTTTCTGCAAGCCAAATGAGAAAACAAGGGAAGCTAACCAGACCGAGTGCTTTACTCCCAGCCAGGGCCTTGAAGGGTTGGGCCTGGCCAAGACTGTTGGTTCTCCAGGCCCCTCCAGCTCCCACCTCCACCCTGACCTTTCCAGTGGATTCCTGCCACCCACTCCAGGGAAATCTGAGTCATTGTCAGTAGGGCCAGGAGGGGAGATGAGTCTTTGGCCACTGCCAATCCAGGAGGTCACAGCACGCCTGGTCTGAGTCTGAAGGGCCCCAACAGGTGATTTCCAGCTTGGAGCAGGAGGGAAGGCACTGTRCATTTGTCTCCCTTGCAGAGCTCTGGCCTCTGGAGTGGGCGGCCCCAGTGGCTGCCCAAAAGGCCTGGCTGTCAGTGGGGCTCTGTGGACCCTCCTCTATAGGGCTTCTCTTCCACGTGGCTGGTTTGCTCCAGAAGCCACTGCCGCTCGGTCTCACTCATTGTCAGTCTGAACGTCACCTCCTGAAAGATGCTGCTCACAGCCACCTGTGTGAGCCAGAGAGAGCAGGACATTCGAAGTTAAGCCACAAGTTCCAGCACAACTACCCCAGACTGAAACCTGCCCACTGACGTCCTTACTTGTTTGAAATGAAGTTTCTGGAACATCCGGATGCTGGGTTCATTTCCTTGACCGATTTTAGCCTCAAACTTGGTCAGACCCAGCTTAGTCACTCCTCCAGAGGTATCAGAGAGAAGGGCAAGGGCACAGTGAAGCCCCCTCGCTAGCACCCCCTTGCCCTCCTGGCCCCATCTGCAGTGGAGGCTCTTGTCACCTGCCCCCCACCCTCAAGTGTGAAGAAAGCTCAGCTGGGGCCTGACCACCTGTCCCCACATAGCCGCTTAGAATTCCTTACCGTAAGACATCATCAGAAGAGCAGCCTCAGTGCCAAAACCCTGACCCCTGCAGCTGGGCTCTACAAGAAAGAGTGACACAGCAGCTGGCACTAGGCCAGGCTACAGTGTGCACACCTGACAGATACATGCTCACTGAGTTCTCACCGCCCTGAAGGTGGGGTTACCACTACTGTTCTGCACCAGATTGCACCAGGAAGAAGTGCAATCTGACTCCAAAGCTGACCCCTACACTATCATAAAGGTGAAAGACGGTCAGGGACCCCTAGGGGGAGCTGAGGACCAAGGTCCCAGAAACAGGAGAGGCCCCTCCTATAGCATGGCAGGACGCTCCAGAGAAGATGGATTATTTTGAAGGGTCCCTCACCCACCCTACGGGCTTAAAACCAAAGGTTCACACTGAAGCATAAGGAATAAAGTGACAAACAGAAGGAAAAGCCCAGGCTTGGATGGGGCCAGTCCACCCTAGCCAGAAGCTAGCTCACCGCCACTGAGCTCCCTGAGTGTCCTGAGCAGCTCAGCAGACTTGGTTTAGTAGATCTGAGGGCCAGGTGGAACAAACCTGCAATCATGACTTCAATCTCCCCCAGGGTGGGGTCTTCTACATCAGTGAGAAACAGGTTCACATCTCCTGCCATGCAGCTCTCTTCGGTGGGGACTGGCTGGGCCTGCCACTTCTCTGCATCCAGCACAATGAAGGTACACTCTAAGGGGGAAGGTAACAGGGCTATCACCTTTATTCCCCAGAGAAGAGAGATGAGGACAGTGTTCATGCCCAAGCCAGAGAACTACAGAACACCAGCCCCTCTGAGCCTGGGAGGAGAAAAGGGGCCCAGAGCTCCCTTCAACTCATTACAAAGTCCAATCATTATGAAAAGACAGCCTTCTCCAAATAATGACTGTACTCTAAAAAAGCAGGGGACCCAAGGGGCAGTGACCACATGAGGCTGTTGTGAGGGACATGAGGGCAGGGTCTAAATTTATAGGTAAAGCCCAAAATGTTTTACTTTCTCTAAATCCTTCCAAACCCAGTACAGTGAGTGGGGAAGAAAGGCAGAAGGGTCAGCCACAGGGACCAACCCCAGGAGGTGTGAGGGTATAAGGGCTTCATGCATTTTTTGGTCTTTTCACAAGTTTTTGTGGCCCCGGCAGAACTGGCTGGAGGTGAGAAAGGGAGGGAACCTGGAGACTGCCTCTGGAGCCAGCTGCCCCCACTAGGAGGCCCAGGCCTTCCTTACTGTCTGCATCTTCCCGCCAGCTGCACTGCATAGCATACTCCTGCTCCAGGGTCAGTGGCTCTGAGGCTGTCAAACGCTGCAGTTCCTCTGATTTCATCCACTCATGGTACCTGCAGGGAAAAGGGGATGGCCTTAGACACACAGAGCTAATTCAGAGGCATGGGTCTGACATTTTTTAAGGTAAAGAAGTAGATGGACCCAATCAATAAATGGGC